CTAACTGCCAATCGAGTAGCACGCTTAAATTCATGCAAGCGAGGCATTAAGGAGAACAGCTCGTCAGAACAATTGCCATGAAAATACTTGTAGAAAAGACAGAGGAAAGCCAGGAAACTTTCAAGTGATTGAAGTCGAGATTGCAGGTCAGGATCGATTACATGAGAGACACTTCCTTGAATGTTTTTTTTTTAACTTTTCACACCACGCAAGGCGGGAGTGCCACTAGCACGCAAGGAGTTAAAGAAAGTAGGAGCAAGAGTAAAGAGGCCTGAGAGAGAGAGGAAACGATGAAGAGAAGGACAGGGAATACTTCAAGGCATCTGGAGATGTCGGTTGACATTGCATTTGAATAGTTGGAGGTTATAGCGATCAGGGAAGCGAGTAAGAGGAAGGGAGTTCCACAGACGGGAAGTGTGAGACATGAGTCTATTGGAGTAGAAGAGACGTCTACATTTAACCGTTTCGAAAGTGTGGAACTGAGACGTCAACCTAGTGGCACGTTTAAATTCGTGCAGTTTGGGAAACAGCGAAAATAGCTTGTCGGAGCAGTTACCATGAAAGTATTTGTAGAAAAAACAGAGGGAGGCGACGACACCTCTATGAGAGAGCGACTGTAAACGAGATGCCAGATCAGGACCAGCCACATTCCATATTCGTCTCTGGATTTTGTCGAGAACTCAAAGACAAACAGCGGGGTCTCCAAACCATATATGGGAGCAGTATTCCGTGCAAGGGCGAATGGTTGATTTATAGATTTGAAGCATACCTACTTGGGAACTGATGACATCGGGAAGATCGTTAATGAAGATAATGAACAGAGATAGATAGAGCCTTGGGGAAAATCTGCATTCGTGAGAAAGGAACTGAAGGAGAATCCGTTAAGGACGACCTTCATTACACGGTTTGACAGGAATGATTGCATTAAGTGAAATAATCGTCCTGAGATGCCGTATCCCTGAAGCTTACGTTGGAGGCCGGCATGCCAAACATTATCAAAGGCTTTAGAGATATCTAGCGCCACAGCACGAGCCTCTGCGTTATTGTGAAGTGCTTGGTAAACAAGTTCAGTTATGGCCTTGAGTACATCGTCTGTAGACCGACAAAGCAGGAATCATATTGCTTATCAGAGAGCAGATCATGGGATGTAAGGTGCTTAACCATTTCGGCGGTGATTAAAGACTCAAAGACTTTGCACTGTTAGGGCACTGATAGGATGGTAGTTAGATGATTCAGAAGGGTCGCCAGAGTTCTTAAAGACAGGTAAAACAGATTAAGACTTCCGACAGGATGGAAAACAGGAGTCAATGAGGCAGTAGTTGTATAGTTTTGAGAAGACAGAAGCCAGTTCAGGAGCTTATTTCTTCAGGACAATGCATGGTATCCCGTCCCCACCACTAGCCTTATGGAAGTCTAATTTAGAGATGATTGCCAATACCAACGACGGGGTTATGTGCAAATCATTCAACGAAGCCTCAATTCTAGTGAGGGAGGATCAGGTGTAGGTACACCGGACAAGTCTAGCGTTGAATTGGATGAGAATTTACGAGCAAAGCAACTCGGCCTTACCAGCTGAGGAAGTCAGGACCTCAAATTGCTTGAACAAAGGAGGTATTGTATGTTTGCTGTTGTTTAGTGCGCTCTTGCAGAAACGCCAATAATCTTTGGAGCTGAATTTGAGAGATGCAATACGCTGTTTCATTCTATCAGCAAATAGTGATTTTATATCATTGAGGACACGCATGCACTCTTTAAGGATTTTGTCGAGAATCTAGAGATACCTGTTTATATTTCTGAGATGAGGTATCATGTACATTATCTACATTACTCGGACTATCGTCCTCATCTGTGTCGACATATTTATTACAACGTTTCTGCCGTCGTACACTCCGGCCTTCTTCAGGTGGTTGGAATGTTGAACTGAACCATTTATTTCGCTAACTGGGATAGACTGTTCTAGTTCCACGTGCCATGCTTAATGGATGTCAGTTATCAGTTATCTCCTGTTAATTTTCCCTCTGAAAGTTCTCCACTGCTTTAACCTGGTATTGAACTCACACTCTTTGGGTCCTGTCACTGGATCTAACTAACGCCTTTATCCACTGTGCCATGTGACCTTGAGATATATAGTAGGAACACCAGGGCAAATATTGCAGCAGTATTCAGTTCATAGGCGAATGGTAGATTTATAAATGAACCAACTTCCCTAACAGGAGACCAAACAATTGATTCAGTTTAATCCCTCCACTGCGTGTCAAACTTGAATGCAAAAAGTTGCGATATCTTTACACTTGACATAAATGGAAAACTTGATTTCATAAAGGCGCATTGAGTTGATCTCATTGAGTTTAGCTTCCGCCATGTTGATGACAGACAGAAAAGATTCTCTGAAAGCAATTTTGTTTCGGAGGCGTTAATATTTACCAGCCATTTCTTGCTCCAGATAAACACTGATTAGAGGTCCTTTTTTGAGAGCACTCGCCAGTTTTACTTTGTCGGATCTATCGGACTTGCAACTAAGACAGTACTAAATAGATGTATTGTCTGCATAATAACTAGTTTGATGCCTGATGACATTGGAAAGGTCGTTACTGACGATCGGAAAGAAAGGAGGTTCAAGGACAGAGCCTTGTGGGGCCCATGCATTAACATGAAATGAACCAGAAGCGTATCCATTCAACACAACCTTCATTACACGATTTGTTCGGAAGAATTGGATTAGACTAGCGACACTATCGCCCTTGAGATTGGAGAGAAGGACAGCTTGCCAAACGAACGAAATGTCGAACGACTTTGAGATACCTAGAGCCGCAGTCCAGAAACAAGGGAGGTCCTGGATAGAGCCCCGTGGGACCCCTGAATTAATATGAAATAACCAAAAAGCGCATCCCTTCCACACTAATTATTACATGATTTGTTAGGAACCCGGCTTTGTGCCACATCTACCCTCGACGGCAGGGGGCTAGTAAATAACGACTAGATGCGATCTGTTTCAGCTAGACGGTCGAATTCTCTGGCTTCGGTCAGAGAGGAACGCGGACAAGGCTGGGTCGAAGGGCAGAGTCTCGTTTGGAGAGGTAGACCAACCCGAACCCATTTTTTAAAGGTTCTACGGGGAATTTTGCCCGAGCCTGCTGGCACGGAAGACCCACGTTAAACTCGGTCGTGCGACATCTACCCTCGTAGGGCGGGGCTAGGAAATACCGATTAGCTGCGATCTGTTCCCGCTAGACGGTCGAACTCTCTGGCTTCGGGCAGAGAGGAACCCTGACGAGGTTCTGCCGAAGGGCAGAATCTCGTTCGCGTAGGTTGACTAACCCGATCCCGTTTATACTGGTTCTACGGGGATTTTTTTGCCGATCCTATGGGCTCGGATGACCCACCTTAGACTCAGCCTTGTGCCATATCAACCCTCGTTGTGTGGATCTAGTAAATATTGACTAGCTGGTATCTCTTGATTACAACTCAGACTTACGCGAGAACTACCGACCTTCCAATAGTAGCACTCACTACTGGATTGACTTGCAACGACCTTGTGCATAACTCTTACCTTTTTTCTTATTGTACTTGTTTTTACAATAAACCTTTACTTGTTTTATCCACCTTGTTTTTCATCTATGTATTCCTATTTGCACGGAAAATTATTATGTACATAGTATTGATGTCGTGTAATTTCTGATCATTATTTCATTAATAAAATTACCCTTTTTCAATAACCTTGTAATTGTTTTCTGCCAAGTTATTTTCACATTTAAGCCGGTATATAAAATGGGCGAAACCGAAATTCGAAGGCGCTATTGAGAAACGGTAAAAATTCTTTAGAAACAAAGAAAAGTGTACTGAAGTGTTATGCAATATCAGTCCTCCTACAAGTCTGTGAGTGCCAGACAATCTTCTCACAGATGAAGAAGAGACTCGAAACAACAGAAATCTGGTTCTACAGAAAGATGCTAAGAATACCATTTACCAAACATGGAAGTCTTAGAGAATATCGAAATAAAAAGGACACTTAAAATTAATAGAGCCAGTTAGAATTTCTATGGCGCATATTGAATAAAGAAGGCTTGGAAAATTTGATACTCACAGGACAGATTGAAAGCAAGAGGGTCAGAGGAACTCAACGTGTAAACTAACTAATGTGCTTGAGTAAATGTATGACAGAACAGGGTTTAGTAGATATAACAAAAAGGCAACGTACAAAAGACAGGAAATAGTGAAGAGCCATGATTGCCAACATCCTGATGGAACACAGTATATAGAAGAAGAACAACAAGTGTTAATATTTTGCCGTTTACATTACTAAGTACTAATTTTTATGAATAGAAAAGATACTTTTAGGAATTTTAAAGTCTCACAAGTTGGTTGACCAAATCCAATTCCCGAAATCTGATTAAACATTTGTCGCTGTTTTATTTTTCGGGTTTAGAAGTGTTCGGCGCCTCCTTGTGTTGCAAAAACATACGATAGCTTGGTCTGCCTGCGCCTGCGCAGAAGCCAAAAAAGAAATATGGCGAAGTCCCCCATGAGAACATCATTTAATTATAACTATTAGGAAAGGCTGAAGGTCCAACTGGTTTCTAGTTTCATGATATTTTACGAATTCCAGAACTCAAATTGTCGATCTATGGAATTGTAACATAATATATTATGTTGTGGCAATGTGCTGATGCGTGGCAATATTGACGTTTTCGTTTCTCAAAACCATTATCGTTGCTTGTTAAAATCGTGTCATTTTATAGGCTATTTACAAAGCCCTAAAGCCAATTCGTTGGGTCAGTTATATGAGGACAGAAAACGTATAACGTGATAAGTAGGAGGTTCCCAAATCCTACATAACATTGAAGAAACTAATTGTATACATGGGAATTTTACAAATGTTTGTATAATGTTTCAAGAGTTTTGTTCAGATGACCTATAAGTTGATGAGATTAATCATATAAATATGACAAAGAACTTAAGAAAAAGAAAAAATTAAACGAAAAACAAAGGTATCTTGATAG